ATCAGATTCACAGGAACTGTAGTTAAAGGTAGCTGTGACCACCTGACGACCAGGACCTTTAGCTAGGGCAGACCATGCTTGGGATTCTGATCCACCTCTTCAGCTCTGGACCAACCCTTCTAAATGAAAAGCCCAACCAACTCTGTTTTTGAAGAAACCACGTTTTGTGGGAGACCAGGGGCTAGTCTCCAATTCAAGGAAGAAAATCACAAAGTCCACCTGGGCAATCATCCAATAAACAACCCGTCCTTGCAACTTCAGCAGGATCAAGGTACATGGAGATATCCTAAGACATCCTGCAGAGAACAGATAACCTGAGCATTGTTTGTCAGGTGGTTCTACCCTCGTGTTCAGATCCTCCAGTTTGCACCAGAAACGAGTTTTTAAAATATTAATAAGTACCCTGTACCCTTAGACCTGGAGGTCTCACTTTGACCTGTTGCTATGGATACACTCGAGACCTTGACCCTTATATGTTTACATCAGAACTGACTCCTCTGTGGTCTTTGGCTATCTGCAACTTGGGCATAACACTAAGTGCTGTCCCTCAAGTGCTCACTGCTCTTTCCCAGTTTACAGATGGGCCTGCAACAGGTAATAGTAATAGTAATAGTAATAGTCCCTGTCTTTGGAACTGGAGAGATGGCTAACCAGTTCAGAGCAATGGCTGCTCTTTAAGAAGATCCAAGTACTCTTTCCAGCACCATGGTGGCTAACTGTTCTCTGTAACTCTAGTACCAGGGGATCGGGCACTGTCTTCTGCTTCAGAGGTCACTCATTGCATTAGTGTAGTGCAGACATGCATGCAGACAAAACACCTATATACACCAAGTAATAACAAATTAAACATCTCCAAACAAAGGAAACAAACAGACAAAACCCCACCCTGATTTTAATCAATTAGAGGGAGGTAAGTGCTTTTCTAATTTCAGGATTATTAGAAGTCAGAATTTCTACAAGCAATACAGATAGAAGAGGAGGGAATTCGGAAGCTTTCCAGGAAGGGTCCTCCAGCTAAGAAGGGTTCTTATGGTTGTTTTCCATGACAGTGAAAATCTGAACCAGCTTTGACACCATCTTTTTTTCTCTTTTTCATCAATGGCTGCTACCCAACAATCCCTAACTCCCTATGCTGTTCCCTTGAATAAGATGCTAAGAATCCCACCACAGATCTGTTTTGACTGGAAGCCTGAAAGTGTTTACAAGGGCTGAACAGCTGGCCTGTGTTCCCGACTTGCATTTTAATAAGCCACCTGGCAAGATCAACAAAAAGAGAGGGAACAGGTGTGAAGGAGAAAGACAGTCCCTTCTCTGCTCATCATCAAATGGCCACACCTTGCCCCACTCAGGACTCTGGCTTGTGGTGGCCTCGTCCCCCAATGCAGGCTCTGATCAAAGAGGGCTGAGGTAAACAATGAACTCTCCTGTGCCTTTGACAAAAGGAAATCTAGATTTCAGTAGTGAATATCTTGCTGCCATAACCCAAAATGCTGGGCCCACCCCACCCTGAGGCCTGAAAAGGAGGGTCTTTGCTGTGGGCCACATCTCTACAGAAATGCATGATATCTTCATTAATGGATTGTCTGTCTCCAGATGCACGTCGTCATTCAGGCACCAGCCTTCAGAAATCTGACAGGCCCTTTTATTTTACTTTATTTTATTAAGTATATGTTTTGTTTTGTTTTTAATTGTGGCTTTTTGCTGACTTCTTGTCTATTCCAGGATGGATTTTGCATAGTATGTTGTGTAAGTAGTGACGACAAGCCAAGTTTATAATCCTAGGTGTCTGTTTTCTCGTTAATTGTTAGTCACATTGTATTATATTGTCCCAACAATGCCCTGGCCAGCCAGCCAGGCTGCTAATGACACCATAAAACCTACCAGCTGTCTAAATTGGTCAGGAGTCTGTGTCGATGAAAAGGAAGGAAGAAAGCCTGAGTTTGCAGTAATGTTACTGTGAAAGTCACGTCACCAGGAGCGTTTCCATTTCCTTAGAGAAAAATATTAATAGTGTATCTATTACTTTCAGTTGTGATCCCCAGAGGGCTGAGGAAAGAAAGTGAATGTTTACTTTACGCTGCTGCTCAGCATCTGCTCAGACTGGACTGTGGTGGGCCAGATGGGAGAGGGCCGTGGGCAAGCGAAGAAGGGTGACCCTTTCTGGGGGACACCTGTGTTGCGTAGTATGCAGAGAGCTCCCTGGTCTTCCAGAAGTCTCTATCTGTGTTCTATAATGATGTATGATCTGCCCCGCCCTGTTGCATGAGGTTTGGGGCCCCGGGTAGAACAGAGTCTACCCAGATTGTGACAGTTGTTATATCTAATAGTTGAAGGCTCAACTAAGCGTGCGTCTGTCCAATTAAAGCCAGAGCAGTTATGTCGTTGTGCTGTGACTTATAACCATTAGTGCCTCAAACCAAAGTTAGGATGCCCAGTTTTTTAATTTTTATGTTTTTACCTTTATTTTGATCTCGGCATGATTATACTGGGAACATAATTATGTCTGTTCTTTTTTAATTAGCAGTGTTTTCGTAATTCATGAGTAAGCAATCCTTAATTAAACGTGTTGGTATTATTAACTTCCTTTTTTCATCTGACTAGCAAATCAGAGGATGAGATGCTCGTTTGTTTTTTATTTTGAGATAGCGTTTGCTGGGTAGCCCCAGCTGACCTCAAATTCACTATGTAGCTTAGCCTGCCCTCAACATCAAGATCTCCCGCTTCAGTCTTATGTGTTGGGATATCACACATAACAGGCTGTGAAATACTTTTCCTTTATACTTGTCAATTCAAATCTATGAACTTGAGACACACACACACACACACAAAGGAAAAAAATCTATGAACTTGATCATTTTAGACTTAGGATTCTTGAAGGGCTCGTGACTGTAATCGTATAGAAGTCTCTCAAATTTCTTTAGAAGGAAGTTGGAATGGGGCATGGGAAATGGCTCAGTTGGCAAAGTGCTTGTCACTCAGACATCAGGAGCTGAGTTCAAATCCCCGGCACTGATATAAAAAGCCACTGAGAGGGTGCGCCCCTGAAATCCCACTGCTGGAGAGCAGAGATGGGGTTATTCCTGGGACTTGCTGGTCAGGCAGTTTAACCGAATCAAGTCCAGTTTCTGCAAGAGATCCTGTCTAAAAAGGTGATACAAGAAGATTCCAGATATTGACCTCTGGCTACTACATGAATCCAAAACATACATACATACCACACTCATGCACAGACTTACAATAGCAATAAAGAAAAAAATAATAGAAACAATATCTACCTTGAGTTACCAAGTGGAAAAAACTACAAATGGCTTGGTCACTAACATTGGGTCTTTGTATACACATATATGGAAATTGCATTAGTTTCATAAGGATGAGAGAAGCATTTGACAAGCACAAATGGATGCAACTGTAGCTCGGTTTCAGAAATAGTGTGTTAAGAGGAAGAGTGGAAGGATGACCAAGAGAGTCAACTAACCTGGGCCCTTGAGGCTCTCAGATTGAAGCACCAACCAACCAAAGAGCAAGCATGGGCTGGACCTAGGCCTTCCTACACATATGTAGCAGATGTGCAGCTTGACCTTCATGTGGGTCCTGAACCACTGGAGAGGGGCCTATCCCAAAAGCTGTTGCCTGTACATGGGATATGTTCTTCTAGCTGGGCTGCCTTCTCTGGCCTCAGTGGGAGGGGATGCACTTAGCCTCAGAGAAATTTGATATGCCAGGGTAGGTAGGGGAATACTCAGGGGGATCCCCACCCACTCAGAGGAGAAGAGGAGGAAAGTATGAGGAGAAGGATTGTGGGAGGGGGTGACCAGGAAGGGGAGCAGTGAGCAGGATGTAAAGTGAATAAATAAAATTTTAAAAATTAATAAATAATAATAATAGATATGATAGAGAAACCACAGCTACATTAGAAAGTTGTACTATAAATATTAGCATGGGACATTTTTAAGGAATATTCTCATTGTACTCAGTCATAGGCCTTAAGAAAATATGTTACAGCTTCTTAGCTTAAAATAAAACTTAGTGAGAGGCAGCTGTCTTTCTTAGAGGTGACTCCATACGATTTTCAAGCCAATTTGCTGATGAAGTTTTCTAATTCCATCATTTCTGTGATTTTTCTTCCTCCTCCCCACCCCCCGCAAGTTGGACCAAAGATGAGTCAAAAATCACACTTGTTTTTGAACTCAGTGTGCCCAAGTCGTTTCCTGTTGACAGGAGTCTGGCGAAAATGTCATCCTTGTCATCGCCAAATCTCTGTCCTAGAGAAGGACTTTGGCTGCCAGCTTTCCTGATTTTTGTCCCATGATGGATTTGACTTTTGAGATCTGTGTTTTCTTCTCAAGTCTAGGTTCCCTCTGTAGCCCTCTGTGGGCCTTACCAAACCCACTAAGAACTAGTTGATAGTTTGGCTCTGTGCTTCTAACTTTATAGACATTAAAGTATAGATGTGCAGTGAACTGCGGACTGCCCAGATTTAGTGGAAGAACCCTGAAAAGAAAAAATTCCATTTCCAATTGGTCTTATTTGTTGACACAGCTCTATAGTCATAAACAGTACTATATTCTTCAAAAAGGGAAAAATTAAGGTGTGAACGTCCAGCTGAAATATGGCGCTGCAAGCACTCTGCACAAATAGTTTTCTAGGGATAAAGGTGGATTTTTTCTGTTCTCATAGGCTAGTGGGTGTTGTTCCCCAGTGTGCCTGGATTCCATCGACCTTCAGAGTTGGAAGTGCCGATATCTTCAGTGTCTGCTCACTGTATAATGTCTGTGGTCACACAGGGTCTCTCTGAATTGGAAAACTCAGCCAGCCCTCCAGAAGGCAAAGCAGAGCACCTACTGACAGGGACCCAAGATGTCCATGCATGCTTCTTCCAGACTGTTCCAGATGAGTCATGTGTTAAAGCTGCACGGGAAAGAGTCTAATGTATTGCTTTTGCATTGCTGACACTTTTCTGCCGTTGTAAAATTTCCTTTTTTTTTTTGTTTGTCATTCAGATGAGTATAGGATCAAACCCGTGGAAGAGGTCAAATACATGAAAAACGGGGCAGAAGAGGAGCAGAAAATAGCAGCCAGGAACCAAGAGAACCTGGTAAGAACTGAAGTTCTCCTTTAACAGTGACTATTGAAAGAAAAAAAAAAAAACCTGCATCGCACATTGATTTGAGGCTCACACCCTGGTTCAAGATTTCTTGAAAATGCTGTAGCTATTCTTAGCTTGCCTGGAAGCTGCGCCATTACCCTGTATCCTGTTTATCTCAGAATAGGTCCCTTTTTAATCCTGATAAGAAATGCTCCAGGGAAAACACAGCAAAATTATTAATGTTTCTAGAAGTGAAGTTGAAACCCCCCCGATGTAGGATTGAGAGGTGCTGGAGGTAGATCTACCCCCGTGCCTCCTAACACGGATTCAAGTCAGGATGAATAGCAGAGTTTCATTATTTGAAACCTATAATGAGGAAGTTCCCTTTCAAAGGAAAACCACAGAATTCTAAAATAGGTCTGCATCCAGAGAGCCCATTCTTCACGCTGATGGTGTCAAAGGAACCGCACATTTGAGTTCATGTGAGTCGTGTAATGATGGGGGTTAGGGAGCTGCTTACTCTATTATCAGTCACTGTGCAGTTCTTCCCCAGCAACTCACCCTGATCATTTAGGCAGTTATCATATGAGCTGATTTCTCAGAGGTTAAAATAGGAAGAGTGTACCTTTATTCGGTTACATTGGTATGTGATGGATTTCGCTCATATTTTGCATATATTTTACATTTAGATTATTGACGTGAGTGAGTGCATGTGCTTTTTAGGATTTTGTGTATCAATAAGTATTTTTACTCCACTGACATTTTTTTTCCTAATACATGTTTCATTCCTTGGTGACCTCTACTGTAGCCCAGTATTAGCCCCTCCTCGTGGCTGCCATTTTCCATCAAGATTCTAGTGGATGTTAGAGGCTATGGGTTTTGCATCCTTCATTCTCTCTAAACATGTGACCAACAACCCTAAGTAGTAAATGTCAGCAAGGGAATATTTTGCATTTTAAGTACTGAAAATAAAGGACTTCTCAGCGGGAGGACATGTGCCTGGGACAGGCAAGGCCCTCAGGTTCCGTCCCCAGCACCACAGTCTGGGGGAAGAGGGTGTTGAGAAGACTCTAGATAATGGCATATTTCATAAATGGCATTTAGACTTCTAACAATGAGTGCCTTCTTAAATGCATGGGAAAAGGATGTTGACCAAAAGTAGAAGTTAGTGTTACCAGGCTTCTCACATGAAGCTTTGTTGTTGCTGTGTTTAAAGCAAAGACCTGGGTAGGTGAGATACTCATTTTTACTAAATAGCAGAGTTTTCCTTGCTTGCTGCAGTTTGGGTTCAATGTATAGATCTCGGACACTGACATTAAAAGCTGGCCTGGGACAGCCTGGCCTTGGCTACCCCTTCTGTACCTCTCCTCCGTGTACTTGTCCCTTGGGAACCTGAGGAAGCTGGAGACCGAGGTTGCCCTTGCTGCTCATCTTGCTGAGACCAGCTCAGTATTTGCCCCTCTTCTCATCCTCGCAAACACATTCCTGGTCGCCTCTGTGCTCCAAGTTAGCACTAGTATCCTGTGCAAGCCAAACACACTGGAAGAGAGAGACTTAGGATCATTCTGGCTGATTTGTGTGACATGTATGGCAACTCTGCACCCCCATTTGGCCACATGATTGGGATTTGTACTGCTCGTGGCGGTTTTCTAGTGTGCGAACATTCATGTGGGAGCAGGAGGAGATAGGTGTGTTTGATTCTGGAATGAACAGGCTGCTTTCCAAAGTTAGAAGTGATTCTCAGTGATCTGTTAGTATGTGGTGTGTGTTAGCTTATAGTCAGTGTCTAGTCTCAACAGAATACACTGCCCAGTAGTCACTCCATAAATGCTGTGCTCTCCAGTCAGTTGAGCCTTTTGGTCACAGTTTCCATGGTTGATGAGTCTTGTCCATGACCGTCACAGATGTACCCTGAATCCACAGACAGACATCCTGATTTCTGTTATTGCTTTACATCTACATATTCTACTTTGGTTCTCACTCTACCTTCTTAAGCAAGGCGAAGTATCAGATTGGTTGGCTTTTCTTTTTTAACCATCAAAAAGCTATTCAGACACAAATGTCCACCTGAATTCCAGATTCTCCATTTCTAGCTTTAAAAGTTTGGCCTTAAGCTTCTGGAGTTCTAGTTCTTTATCTAGAATGTATCTGGAAATCGTTAGAGAATTAGAAGAAAATACCCATGTCAGGTCTTTACAAAGGGAGACTTTCCTTCCTGGTGACTTAGATAACAAGAGCTGTAAAGAGAGAGCTTTCTTTCCTGACATCAGTCAAATGCTTTTGTAAAACAGAATAGCCGCAAGATGGAGGTAGTCAAGTAAGAGCCTCGGGGAAAACACTTGTGATCAGTACACAGTGAAAGGACTCATATCTGGGATACTTAGAGTTCCTCTAGATAAACAAGAAAAGGGTAATCTCTTAAAAAAAGAAATAAACCAAGTGGTTCACAGTAGAGAGTAGAGCATCATGGGCATACAAAAGGCTGTTCTCTACCACCTGGCCGGTGCATGCTCTCTCAGAGACTCATGTTCTGTGTGTGCCTGAAGGATACTGCCCGAAAGGCATGCTTCACTGGGCCTCTGGTGGGCTGCTCTCTAAAAACACTTGAGCTTTTTGTTCATTTGATTTTTCTTGTTTCCTAGAGCCATAGGTGTGCTGTTTCTCAAACCGGTTTGTGCTGGTTGAATGTCATTGTAATTATGTAATTTAGTTAAATAATATGCAAGCCCAGAGAAACCGCAGCATTGAGATAGTTGTTACAGTGACATATAAATGGACTGCTTTGAAAAGTCTTGATGAAGGCAGGTTATTAAAAGCTTGCTGTTCATTGAGTTCTACACTCAAGATTCGTTTACTTTCTCACTTCCCTTAAGAAATCAAACAGGAATCTCAGCTGTGCCTTGAGGATATGGTCCGTGAAGGAGGTACGGACTGTGTCCCCTCTCAGTGTCCCTCAAGGAAAGGAAAAGCCATGTAAAAGATGGGGAAAGAAACATGCATCTTGGTATCTTAAAGTAAAATAATATGTTTATTGTACATATACATTTTATATGTCCCTACTTTCACTCAGACCAGTTTGGGTGGTGTCAACTAATACTATTTATTGTAATTAGGGACATGCAAATTAAAATGTGATCCCATTTTTCATCCATTGGATTGGCAAAAACCTGAAGTTTGATAATATCAGATTTGACCTGATTATAGGAAAATATATGTTGATGTACCAGCGGTACCACCTCTCTCAGAGGACAGTGTAGTGGTTGGTGTTTCTGGCAGTTTAAACATGCATAACCGTGACCCAGCACTTCTGCAGCTTGTAGACAGCTGCCTGCATGCATGAGGAAGCTTACACAAGACATTCATTAATATCGGTTTATATCGGTAGAAAGCTGAACAAAGACCTTTCTGCCTGTCAGTAGAACAGCAGTTCAGCCACACTAGGTAGCAATTTAAAAAGGAGCTGGAACTGGTTTTGGAGAAAACATGCCAATTTCCGCATTGATATATGTACTGTGATGCTATGTAGGATTCTTTAAAATGAACCTGAGGCAGCAGCGCTCTGTGTTTTCCCATAAATATTCATGTGTGTACGAGGACTCATAGATGCAGATGTGTTCCCAACCAGTGGCACATCAAGTTCAGCTTAACTGATTTGCAAAATGGACGTGATCCTGGAACTCGCGTTAGTGAGAATTTGTGCAGTTACATAGATAGTAGCACAGTTCCTGGGGAAGACTGTGTCGTCATTGGCTGTTTTTATTTTACTTTTGTTAATGGAATTGTATTACAATAAAAGAGAGAACTGATGTGTTCAAGGGAAATTTTTATTGTTATATTTAATATTTAAAACATTGGTTGAAATTTCATTTATTCAAAGTGGCTATAATAGCAGTTTTCTGGTTTTGACTACTTCACAATCGTAAGCAAAATGATGACATTTTCTTATCTCAGGTAGACATATTCCAGGGATGGAAGTGGGGGAACAGGGTGGGGGGTCACCAGAAGTCAACCAGGAGAAAACTTGAGAACCGTTCAGTTTCATTCTATGGAAGTTCACAGTTTTACATGTAAATAAGTTAAACATACATTACTCTAGACTTGGCAGGATCCAGCCCTTTGCCTCTGCTAGTGTAGGAAGTCCTCCTCGATGTTTAATAAAAGTCTTGTTTTCCTTAATTAACACTTTCCATTCAGAGGCCATCCTCCCTTAAGAGCTGTTAAGTCATGTCATGCCAGTCTGTTTCCTGTGCTTGTTTGGAGCATGTGCTTCCTAGATTGACAAGTGTTGCATCAATCTTCATTCACCCTTTCAAGATATCTTTGTATAAATGAGAAAACTCTTTTCTCTCAAATGATACACAACACAAACTTTTTTTAAAAAGATTTATTTATTTATTATATATGAATACACTGTAGCTGTCTTCAGACACACCAGATGAGGGCATCAGATCTTATTACAGATGGTTGTGAGCCACCATGTGGTTGCTGGGATTTGAACTCAGGACCTCTGGAAGTGCAGTCAGTGCTCTTAACCACTGAGCCATCTCTCCAGCCCCAACACAAACTTTTCATTTCTGTCTTGTCCTTAGAGTTGAAGGGTGACTTTAACTTAGGTGAGCTGTTGGGAATGGGAGTGTCTGAACTTGGAGAGACTTGCTTTCTGGCTTAGGGACCTTTAGACACTGAAAAGTTCCCACAACCAAGTAAAGAAGACGCTTGGTATCCTCTTTACACAAGGACAATTAGTTACCTCTCTTGATGTGACCAAATACACAAGAAGCAGCAGCTTAAGGAAGGGAGAGTTCATTTTGGCCACAGTTCCTTGGGATAATGCCCATCCTAAAGAGAAAGACCCTGGGCAGTTCCAGGGTGACACGTGTATCCCCAATAATTGATGCAACAGGAAACAAAGATCAGACAGGAAGTGGGGCAGGCTGTCAAGCCCTAGGGCCTGCTCTCCAGCGACCTGCCTCCTTCAGTACTACTCCACCTAAATGTTCCACAGCCTT